TGCCTGCTCCTCCCTGTCTGGCTCTTGATGTCCTTGACTTTGTTTTCCATTTCTGGCCTGGGAATACCCAATACCTGGAGCTTGATCTGTTTCTTTTTCTAAATTTGCCCTTGACCCTTCCCAAGAAGCTTTCCCCTTTCCTGCCACTTGGAGGAACCACCTACTTAGACTACCCCCATTCCAACAAAGCCCTGGTCCGCTGGAGCTCCCCTAGGATGGCCTTGTGGGGGTGACTGGGTTGGAAAGGAGTGCTGAGAGAACCTGAGAGTTGGACACAGTTAAATGAATGCTGCTACCATTCACTAGCTTGAATAGGGGATTACTGAACTACTTGGAGCTTTGGTTACTCCAGGGAAGATAAGATCTGTCTCTCCATTTGTTGTGAGGCTTAAGTGAGGTAATGATTTAAAGGGCTGGTTGGCACTGCTCAAGGAAATAAGAGAGGACACAAACAGATAGAAAAACATTCCATGCTCATGGTTAGGAAGATTCAATATCGTGAAAATGGCCAAACTACCCAAAGTAATTTATAGATTCAACGCTATCCCCATTCAAGCTACCAATGACCTTCTTCACAGAACTGGAAAAAACTGCCTTAAACTTCATATGGAGCCAAAAGAGAGCCCTCATAGCCAAGACAATCCTAAGCAAAAAGAACAAAGCTGGAGGCATTATGCTACCTTATTTCAAACTACACTACAAAGCTACAGTAATCAAAACAGCATGGTACTGGTACCAAAACACAGATATAGAGCAGTGGAACAGAACAGAGGCCCTGGAGGCAACATCATACATCTACAACCATCTGATCTTTGACAAACCTGACAAAAACAAGCAATGGGGAAAGGATTCCCTGTTCAATAAATGGTGTTGGGAAAACTGGCTAGCAGAGTACAGAAAGCAGAAACTGGACCACTTCCTGACACCTTATACTAAAATTAACTTCAGATGGATTAAAGACTTAAACATAAGACCTAACACCATAAAAACCCTAGAAGAACACCTAGGCAAAACCATTCAGGACATAGGCATAGGCAAGGACTTCATGACTAAAACACCAAAAGCATTGGCCACAAAAGCCAAAATAGACAAATAAGATCTAATTAAACTCCAGAGCTGCTTCTTTACAGCAAAAGAAACAATCATTAGAGTGAACTGGCAACCAACAGAATGGGAAAAAATTTTTGCAATCTACCCATCTGACAAAGGGCTGATATCCAGAATCTACAAAGATCTAGGACAGATTTACAAGAAAAAAAACAAACCCGTCCAAAAGTAGGCGAAGGGTATGAACAGATACTTTTCAAAAGAAGACATATATGAGGCCAACAAACACATGAAAAAATGCTCATCATCACTGATTATTAGAGAAATGCAAATCAAAAGCACATTGAGATACCACCTCATGCCAGTTAGAATAGCGATCATTAAAAAATCTGGAGACAACAGATGCTGGAGAGGATGTGGAGAAATAGAAACACTTTTACACTGTTGGTGGTAGTGTAAACTAGTTCAACCATCGTGGAAGATAGTGTGATGCTTACTCAAGCACATAGAAATAGAAATCCCATTTGACCCAGCAGTCCCATTATTGGGTATATACCCAAAGGATTACAAATCATTCTACTATAAAGACACATTGCACACCAAAAAAAGACACATGCACATGTATGTTCATAGCAGCACTGTTTACAATAGCAAAGACCTGGAACTAACCTAAATGCCCATTGATGATGTACTGGACAAGGAACATATGTCACATATACACTATGGAATACTATGCAGCCATAAAAAATGACGAGTTTATGTCCTTTGTATGGACATGGATGAGTCTGGAAACCATCATTCTCAGCAAACTGACCCAAGAACAGAAAATCAAACAGCACATGTTCTGACTCATAGGCGGGCATTGAACAATGAGAACACATGGACACGGAAGCATCACACACTGGGGTCTGTTGAGGGGGGCAAGGGAGGGACAGCGGGGGTGGGTGTGGAGGTCGGGGAGGGATAACATGGGGAGAAATGCCAGATGTAAGTGACAGGGATGGAAGCAGCAAACAACACTGCCATGTGTGTACCTATGCAACAATCCTGCATGATCTGTACATGTACCCCAGAACCTAAAGTACAATAAAAAATAATAATAAAATTAAGAAAAAAGAGGGCTGGTTGGTGTCCAGTGAATATGAGTTGCCCACTGCCTTTTCTTCTGAATTTCTATTCCATATGAAGACCATTTCTTAAGAGCTTCACATGTTTCTGCCCTCCTCTCTCTCATATTTTCCTTCTTCCTCTTTTGCAAAAGCTTTGGTATAAAAAGTTTAGTTATTTCTGCTCCAGGAGTTTCTACCACTGCCTTAAGGGGGGGGCGGTCCTTGATATCGCAAGATAGAACTTGAGGCACTCTTTCCTACAGAAAGAATGTTAATAAATGTTGGATACTTACACTGTGAGGACTTTGCCTAAGGAACATTCTGGGCCAGGCAGGCTTTCGTGAAATTATAACAGCATTATTCATTTTCATGAGTAAGTACTTGGACAGATGTTCCCAAGCAAGCAGCTTATCAGCAACCTTACCAGAAACCATCCGATTGTAACCTGAGGACTGCCTGTCCCCACGAGTATTTGCTGTTGCTCTCATAAGCCTCGTTTGGTGGTTGGCTTTTATTTAACAGTCACTTTGATGCGGGAGCTGTGTGAACTTATCTCCAAGTCCTGTCTGTCTCGACTATTCAATTTTCTATAAAATCTAAGAACTTAAATTTAATGGGATAAGAGAGTCAGAAGGGACCTCAAAATATCTTACCTGTCCCCAAGTCATATTTAAGCCATTCTTGCATGGCAAGAACTACACCATTATAGAATACTTGCTGATGTTTGTGACTTTTCATGATGATTTCCTGCAAAGGCTCTTGCTGAGAAGTGCTTCCTTGATGTCTGTGGGTGCAAAGTCCCCTGATGGGGAAGATGTGCCCTGGGCCTTGCCACATACCGCTCCTACCACAGACTATGGTGACAACATCCTCATCACTTCTCTCTTGTACCATAAGTGTCAAGCCCATTCCCTCCCTAGGCAAAGATGACCATTGAGGCCTTTTATGTGCCAGGGATTAGGGAAGTCTAGCTCAGTATCTTCCCACTGTCCCTATCCCTGCTACCTAGGATGGAAAAGGAGAATGGTAGGCACTTCCCAGTCTTTAAGGCAATACGAGAATCTGCTCACTGCTTCATCTAGAAAAATGTAACTTACTCAGCAACTTCTGGGAACCAGGTACCCTAGCAAGTGCTGTGGCATGTTTTTATATTTTTAGTCACCACAACAAATCTGTAATGTGGATACACTGTTAGTGTCATTCCCATTTTAGAGATACCGGGCATTGGAAAGCTAATGACTTTACCAGGTGTGACTCACCCAGCTAAGAGTGGCAGAGTCAAATTTAAATATGACTCATGTCAGAGCCCAGGCACTGAGCACACTCCCAGGTGTGTTGGATGTGCAAGACAGTGTGCCTGTTATAGAGCCTTAGCTCTGACCCCTATGCCTGTGACACACACACTCTTGTATGTGCCAGGTGGGGACAGGGGATCAGCTCTGACCCCTATGCCTGTGACACACACGCTCTTGTATGTGCCAGGTGGGGACAGGGGATCAGCTCTGACCCCTATGCCTGTGACACACACGCTCTTGTATGTGTCAGGTGGGGACAGGGGATCAGCTCTGACCCGTATGCCTGTGACACACACGCTCTTGTATGTGTCAGGTGGGGACAGGGAATCAGGGCTGGGTCAAGCAGGGCTTAGCATCAGCCCCTGTGGTAATGGTGGGAAGGGGAGGACGTGGCTGTGACTGAGCCTCACGATCCTATTAGTCAGTTTCCCTCCGTGACCTGTGGGTGCCAGAAGCACAAAGAATCTTCCAGATGGTAGGTTTTACAGACGTCATGGTAGCGTCTGCAGGGGCGTGTAGTCTTCAGTTTGCGGAGGAGAAAACCAAGTCCCAGAGTCCCTTCCCAGAAGAGCAAGTTAACGACAGAGCCCCGAGAGGCCCCAAGTCTTCCTGCTCCCCATCCAGTGCCCATCTGCTGTTGGAAGGTTTCGGTCTTGAGCAATTCCCTTCCAGATGTAAAACACTTGGGCTGCGGTTTGGGCCTGTTTGTCCTTTAGTGTTAGAGAAGGTGGAAAGCCGCTGATTTCCCATCCAGTGGTCTATTACCAAATGTTCCCTTCAGAAGGCTTTCTCTTCCTTAGGCTAAGAGTTCTTTGCTTCTTTGTTCTAAGAGAACTTTCTTTTTTAGTCCAATTTTCTACATTCAGACGCCTCACTGACCGTCCCACATAACCTTTCCTTTTTCTTTTTTTTTTTTTTTTGAGACGGAGTTTCACTCATGTTACCCAGGCTGGAGTGCAATGGCGCGATCTCGGCTTACTGCAACCTCCGCCTCCTGGGTTCAGGCAATTCTCCTGACTCAACCTCCTGAGTAGCTGGGATTACAGGCACGCACCACCATGCTCAGCTAATTTTTTTTGTAGAGACGGGGTTTCACCATGTTGACCAGGATGGTCTCGATCTCTTGACCTCGTGATCCACCCGCCTGGGCCTCCCAAAGTGCTGGGATTACAGGCTTGAGCCACCGCGCCCGGCCAACCTTTCCTTTTTCTCAATCCTTACTCCAAATTAAACCAGCTTTCTCCACTTGTCTCATGCATTTTGGGCTCTGGTTCTTTTCCTGCTTCCTTTTTCTTTTTATGGTAGTTCTTCTTTTAAGAATTTTTCCCCAACTGAAGCCAAGCTGCTGTTACGACCAGTGTTGGCCAAAACCACTCTGTGATCCTTCACTTTAATATGAACTTGGGTGTTTGTTTTTAGTTCTGCCCTAACGTCACCACCTCCTGTCCTGGTGCTCCCTGTCTTAGACAAAACTAAAAACGTGAGATGGGGACAAGGGTCCACGTACCTGTGTTTTCATTCATTGGAAACTATCTGTTTTGCTTCTCAGGTACACAGATAAGCTGTTTTTCTCCAAGTTCTTTCTCCTGGCGTCAGGCTGCCTTCGTGGATTCATATTGCTGGGCGGCTGTTCAACAGAAGAACTCGCTGCAGAGTGATTCTGGAAACCTCCCACTGTGTCTGCATAAGGTAAAAGGAGACATTTTCAGATGAAACCTATTTGCTTTGTAGATAAGGAAACTAAGGCCCAGGGAGGCTGTGCCAAAGACCATACAGATATTGTAGCCAAACGGGGGTGTGTCTCAGACTGTAAAACTATAGCACTTTATAGTCAAACAGAACCTCACAGATGACTTGATACAGGCACCATCGTTTCACACAGTGGGGCAATGGAAGTGTTCTGTGGGTTTCAGCTCTGTAACAGCAGGCACCTTCTGTGTCTTGACACCTTTGTATCATTAATGCCCAGCAAGATGTCTGGTCCATAGTAGGTTCTTAGTACATTTTCCGTGTCTGAATGAGCATAGCTAGACAGTGGCAGAGCTAGGATTCACACATACCTTCTCAGCTGGCGCCCTTTCTACCACATACCAGGTCTCTTGCAGAAAGTAAGGACTGACCTAGAGTTCAGATGCTTCTAGCTGATACGTTACTGGAGCATCGAAAAACCTAGCGATGCGGTCCTCTGGGGTGTTGGCTGTAGCACTGGTTTTGGAATAGATTCCTTTGCTTTTTGTTAGCTGCAGATATTGCGGGGAAGGGGAGATATTCCACAAGAGACACCAATGTCTGGGATCCACATCTCATAGAGAAGAGGTACAGTCAGGTGCTCTGTGGTCAGGGAAGTGGTGGTTTGTGCATGCTTGTGGCGGGGGATGCAGTGAGGAACTTAGGCAGCACTTGACAAGTTTGTGCAGAAGAATGTTCTCTGACTTAGGAAGTGACTGCATTAGGTCTTCTCTGTGCTTGTGGAAGTAGGACTTTGTTTCAGCCTGTCATTAATTTCAATCACTGTTTCTTTTGTCCATTGTGAAAACAAATAGAATGTGTATCTTCTGGTATTCTTATTTGCTGAAAAAAGTACAGAATTTAGCTTCCAAAAAGCCAAAAGCAAAAACTGGACTTTCTTCTGCTTTGACCTGCTGCCAGATACACCGTCAGCATCCTTCTTCATAAAAGGAATGATTTAAGGGAACGATGACTCAGGCTTGTTCTCCTCCTTGTTTGTTTATAGTTGATCCTTGAACAGTGTGGGGGGCAGAGGCACTGGCTCCTTGCACAGTCAAAAACTTGTATGTAACATCTGTCTCCCCAGAACTTAACTACAGATAGCTACTGTTGACTGGAAACCTTACTAATAACATAAACAGTCACTTAACACATATTTTATATATGTATTATATGCTGTATTCTTACAATAAAATGAGCTAGCAAAAGAATATTAAGAATATCATAATGAAAAGAAAATATGTTGACTATTTGGGTCATGCAAAAGTAATTATGGGTTTTACCATTAAAAGTAACAACAAGGTGGGCAAGGTGGGTGGATCACTTGAAGTCAGGAGTTTGAGACCAGCCTGACTAACATGGTAAAATCCCATCTCTACCAAAAATACAAAAATTAGCCAGGCATGGGCAGACACAGTTGCTCACGCCTGTAATCCCATCACTTTGTGAGGCCAAGGTGAGCAGCGGATCACTTGAGGTCAGGAGTTCGAGACCAGCCTGACCAACATGGTGAAACCCCGTCTTTACTAAAAATACAAAAGTTAGCTGGGTATGGTGGCAGGTGCCTGTAATCCCAGCTACTCAGGAGGCTGAGGCAGGAGAATTGCTTGAGCCTGGGAAGCAGAGGTTGCAGTGAGCTCGGATCGCGCCATTGTACTCCAGACTGGGCAACAAGAGTGAAACTGCATCTCAAAAAAAACATTACCCAAGTGTGGTGGCATGTGCCTGTAATCCCAGTTATTTGGGAGGCTGAGGGAGGAGAACATGGGCTTGAAATGAACATGGGAAGTTGCAGAGAGCAGAGATCACGCCACCGGACTCCAGCCTGGGAAACAGGGTGAGACTCCAAAAAATAATAATAATAAAATAAATATATAAATGTAATGGCAAAACCTGTGATTACTTTTGCTCCAACCTATTATTTATTAAGTGGAAGTAGATCATCAGAAAGGTCATCATCCTCATTGTCTTTATGTTAAGTAGCTGAGGAGGAAGAGAAATTGTTCATGCTGTATCAGGAATGGTAAAGGCAGAAGAAAAGCCGCATAAGAGTGGGCCCATGTAGTTTAAATTCATGTTGTTCAAGGGTCAGCTGGATTGCTTGCCATTTTTCATAGTGATGTCCTATACTGACTCCTTTCTTCATTTAGGTTTGGCTTTTCTCTTTATTTTCAACCGTAGGTGGGTTCTCATCAGCTTTGCAAGGTTTAGTAGTCAAGGCAACAAATAATAGGACTTGCAGTGTGAATGGGTCACAGTGATGAAGTTTAACAGCTTACTTTGTAAACCCAAATTTTTGCTGTTGTAGTTTAAGTTCATTTGTTATAGTGTTCTCATGAAAATGGTGAGTTTTAATGAGTCACTGGGCTGGCTTTTATGGATCCACAGAAGAATGTGTAATCTAGGATTGTCTAATGTAAGAATTGGCAGCAGTGTTAGTAATTATTTTACAGCAAGAAGAATCAACTGAAAGATTTTTTATCCAGATGCATTTTACATTTAAGGATAAGGGAACTTTGAGCGATCTAGCCTAAGAGTCTTAGGACCAGTTGCTGACTAACAGACTAGAGCTCAGATTTTCAGACTTCTAGCCCATTACTCTTCTAGGCTAGGAAGGGGAAATCTGGGAACAGTATGAGTAGCCAAACTTTAAGTTACCTGGTACTGATGACAGATTCAGAAGCTGTCTTTCTGGCAATGGAAGATTGCTTGTTTGAATGGAAGTACATCGGAGTGTCTCAACAGAGCTCTTGGCAGATTCATGAGGCTGGCGACAGAGATTAAAGTCAGGACCGGCCACATTGGAAGGACTCTGATTAGCACTCCTTGGCATTTGACTGGGACTCTGAAAGGCTATTCCTTGAGAATAAGGGGCAATCCAGAATTAATTCAGCTCACATTAAGGACTAGAGTCCTGATTTAAATCACTGCAATAGCAGTTGAATGACAGAGATCAGGGATTGCCATTGTCTGGTCTACTTGCCTGCCAGAAGTAAAAATGAATCCCTTTTGGAGTCTGGAAGGAGGTAATTATCATCTATATATATATATATATTTTTTTTTTTTCTCCTTTTTTTTTTTTTTTTTTTTGAGACAGGTTCTCACTTTGTCACGCAGCCCAGAGTGCAGTGGCACAAACATGGCTCACTGCAGCCTCAACCTCCTGGATGTAAGCAATCCTCCTGCCCTAGCCCATCAAGCAGCTGGCACTATAGGCTTGCACACCACACCTGGCTAATTTTTGTATTTTTTGTAGAAATGTTCTCAAACTCCTGAGCTCAAGAGATCCACTCATCTTGGCCTTCTATAGTGTTGGATTACAGGCGTGAGCCACCACACCTGGCCTGTCTTTCTTATTTTTAATTTTTATGGTTACATAACAGTTGTACCTATTTGTGGAATACATGTACTATTTTGATATAAGCATACAGTGTCTAATGATCAAATTGGGGTAATTGGGATACTCTTCACCTTAAATATTTATCATTTCTTTGTGTTAGCAACATTGTACTTCCATTCCTATAGTTATTTTGAAATATACAATAAATTATTAACTACAGCCACCTTGCTACCTAAATCTAAATTCTTTCTCTCTAACTGTATACTTGTACCCATTAACCATTCCCCCTTTCCACTACCCCTCCCTGCCTCTGGTAACCAATACTCTACTCTTTATCTTTATGAAATTAGTTTTTTAAAGTTCTTACATGTAAGTGTGAACATGGAGTACTTATCTGTGCCTGTCTTATTTCGCTTAGCATGGCATTGTCCAGTTCCATTCATGCTGCTGAACATAACAGGATATCATGTTTTTTAATAGCTAAATAATAGTCCATTGTGTATATGTACCATATTTTCTCTATTCATTGGTTGATGGACACTATCCATATAGCAAAGATTTCCATATCTTTGCTATTGTGAATAGCACTGCAATAAACATGGGGGTGCAAATAACTTTGATATTCTGATTTCCTTTCTTTTGGATATATACCCAGCAGTAGGATTGCTAGATCATATGGTAGCTCTATTTTTAGTTTTTTGAGGAACCTCCATACAGTCTCCCGTAGTGGCTATAATAATTTACATTCCTACCAAGAGTACAGAGTGTCCCCCTTTGTACACATCCTCACCAGCATTCATTATTTTTTGTCTTTTTGGTAAAAGCTATTTTATCTGGAGTGAAGTGATATCTCATTGTGGTTTTGATTTGCATTTCCCTGCTCAGTGGTGTTGAGCATTTTTTCATATACCTGTTTGCCATTTGTATTTGTCTTCTGAGAAGTGTCTATTCAGATCTTGTGCCCATTTTAAGTTTTTTAAAATACTGAGTTGTTTGAGTTTTTAATTTATTCTGGTTGTTAATCCCTTGTCAGATGGATAGTTGGCAAATATTTTCTCCCATTCTGTGGATTGCCTCATCATGTTGATTGTTTCCTTTGCTGCAAAGAAGCTTTTTAGCTTGATGTGTTCCTTCTTTTTGCTGTGGTTGCTTGTGTTTTTGAGGTCTTACACAAGACATTGCTTATCCAGACTCATGTCCTGGAGTTGTTACTCCAGTGTTTTCTTCTAGTAGTTTCATGGTTTTAGGTTTTATATTTAAATCTTTAATCTATTTTGCTTAGATTTTTGTATATGATGAGAAGTAGGGATCTGGGTTTATTCTTCTGCATATGGATACTCAGTTTTCCCAGCACCATTTATTAAAGAGACTTTCATTTCTCTATTATATCTTTTTGGCACCTTTGTTGAAAATGAATTGACCATAAATAAATAGATTTATATCTGGGTTCTCTATTCTGTTTCCTTGGTCTGTGTGTCTGTTTTTATGCCAGTGTTATGCTATTTTGGTTGCTATAACTTTGTAGTATAATTTGCAGTTACATAATGTAATGCTCCCAGCTTTGTTCTTCTTGCTCAGAATTGCTCTATTGTGGGTCTTTTGTAGTTCCATATAAATTTTA